AAAAAAAAACTCAACATATATAGAAAAGCGTTTTGATATAGATAAATTTGTACAATATATAATGAATTCGTTTGGATGTTAGCATGTTGATTAAAAATTTAAAAAATCATACCGAATGTGAACACTGCTACCATTATGCACCCAGGGCCAGGGTGCCGTTATACCCAGTTTTGGTTCTGTTGACATGCGCATTCAATATCCTTTTACTATGTCCATTGTCTTTGAGGAGTTGAATATATAATTTGATAAGACATTTGAACTGGAAGTTATTTTTATCCTCCCTCTTTCTCATGTCCATGGCCCCCTTAGCTGCATTTTTGAATGTCATGTTTTTCAAGCCCAAGATTGCATGTTCTTTTGTGCGTAATTTTATTGTGCTTTGTGTGAGATGATGCATATCTTCTGATCGCATTAGGAGGGCAGTTCCTTGAGACATACTTCTAATCCTATTGAAGCAAAGTTTCATTTGTTTTGGATTTGCCCAAAAAAAAATGCACTATTTGAGGTTTTGACCATATGTATATCTTCACTCATTTAACCGTTGGATCATCTATTTTATAGTAACTACATGTGTATTTAACGGTTAAAATATCAAGATGGTATCGTGACATTTTCCTTTAATATTAATGTTGAAACATCATTTCATGTTCGAATTACAATTGGTACAACACGCAATTGGCGTAATGAGAGCCTCATATTTGTTTTAACTTTGAGATGCAATTTCGTGTTCTTTGGTCAAAGGTTTGCGTTTTCACTCGACAGCAACAAACAAATTGAATTCGTCTGACAATATTTATTATATTATATATGTATAAATATACTGCCACGTGAGAAAAAATTATTGAAAATTATTAGTAAATTATTTGTTGATTAAATTAATTAATCCCATCAAAGCACGTCTACCAAAACAGTCCACTTGAATTTATAAGGATAATATATTGATATCTGACCAAACAGTAGGACTCTTCTAAATAATGTAGGAGGATGTCTAAAATTCATATTTATTGATTTTGTCCATTCCATTTCAACTCATTTTCGATTACAAAAATTATAAATTACCAATCATTTACGTCCAAATAAAGAATAATTCATTTTTATAGCTTAAATCATTATACACACCTTTACACGCACGTAACATATTTATATTTATATATATTGAGATAAATAAATTTCACAATTTGTTAAATGGTAAAGCAGAGGAAATGAAGAACTGGAACGAAGAGAAAAACCATTTTCTTATTTCAGGAAATCAGATACAATAATGTTTCTCAATACAATTCCCAACATTCAATTTGGTATTTAAACCTCTCACTAAACAGGAAGAACAAAAGGACTGAGATACCCTTCTCTCACTAGGCTAGTCAAAGTCAAAATACACCAGTATAGTCAACAGCCCCCCCTCAAGCTTGGCACGTGATGAAGATCGATAAGGCCAAGCTTGAACCGAAGTGCATTAAAAACGGAGACACCCAATGACTTAGTAAAAATATCCGCAAGTTGAAGAGCCGAAGAAATCTTCTTAGGAATAACAAAACCGGCCTTGTACTGATTCCTCACCAGGTGACAATCGATGTCTAGGTGCTTGGTTCTTTCATGGAACACCGGGTTTGCCACAATGTGCAAGGCAGCTTGATTATCACACCAGAGGGGAATTGGTACATCCACAGAAACAACCAGGTCATGTAGAAGAAAAGACAACCATTGTAGCTCACATACAGTACTGCTTAATGCTCTGTACTCAGCTTCTGCTGAACTCCTAGAAACTGTAACTTGTTTCTTAGTCTTCCATGCAATAAGAGCAGACCCCAAAAACACACAATATCCAGTAAGTGACCTCCTAGAGTCTTGGCAAGATCCCCAATCTGCATCACTATAAGCTTGTAGAGAAAGTGAAGTCTGAGAGGAGTAGAATAATCCCAGGGAAGGACAACTTTTGAGATATCTCACAACATGAACAGCTGCAGTCCAATGTGTATCAAGAGGAGCACTAACAAACTGAGATAATTGTTGTACTGCATAGGTGATATCAGGTCTAGTCATATTCAAGTACAACAATCTCCCCACTAACCTCCTATACTTCTCTATATCCTCAAAAACTATCCCAGATGAGGAAGATAACTTCAAGCCACAAGGTAATGGTGTTGAAACAGGTTTACATTGAGTGAGACCTGTATCCTCTAGTATGTCCAGAATATATTTTCTCTGGTTTAAATAGATACCATCTGCCCCTCTTGCTAATTCAATGCCAAGAAAGTACTTAGCCTCTTCCAAATCCTTTATAGTGAACAAATTATCTAGGTACCTTTTCAAGTCAGTTAAAGAGTTAAATCATGTCCAGTCAACAAGATATCATCAACATAAATCACCAAGGCCAGAAAATCAAAATCAGAAGCTTTGACAAAAAGGCAATGATCATGTGCTGATTGTTGGAATCCAAAAGTTAGAAGTTTATCACAGAATTCAGCATTCCATTCTCGAGAAGCCTGTTTCAACCCATATAAGCTTCTTTTGAGATAGCATACTTGACCAGGTTTAGCTGTAGCATAACCTTCAGGTGGAGTCATATAAATGTCTTCATGCAATGATCCATGCAAAAATGCATCGTTAATATCTAGATGATGTAGAGGCCAACCTTTGTGAGAGGCAATGGCAATGAGCAATCTGATGGTATCCATCTTAGCAACTGGAGAGAAACTCTCCAAATAATCCACACCATAAACCTGGTGGTAACCCTTGGCCACCAACCTGGCCTTATATCTCTCTACAGTTCCATTAGGATTTAATTTGACCTTATATACCCACTTACATCCTATAACTTGTTTATCTATTGGTAAATCTACCAAATCCCAAGTCCCATTTTTTTCTAAGGCTGCAAGTTCTTGATTCATGGCCTCAATCCATTCTTTGCTTTTACTAGCTTGAGTATATGATTTAGGTTCTTTTATAGTAGATAAATATGCCAGGAAAGACACATAGTTGGGACTCAAAGAAGGAGAAATATGAGTGGGAAAAGTATGCAGTGGATAAGGAGAGAAAATTTGTACCTGAGACTAATTCATTGTTTGCAAGTGGAGACAGTGGTAGAGTAGTGGAAGAAAGTATATAGTCAGAATGCCAAGAAGGAGGTTTCTTTGATCTCATACTTTGTCTAGTAGTAACAATATCTGGTGATAAAACATGGTTCTGTATAGGTGAAGGGTGATGGATATCACAATCTGGTTCTTCTTCAAAAATCAATGGTAATGGAGTAGAAAATGAGGAATCGTCACTATATTTGTCAGAGTGAAAGGGAAATTGTTCTTCAATAAAATGGACATCTCTAGAAACCAAAACAACTTGAGTGTCTATATTATACAATCTGTAACCCTTTTTTTCAGCGACATAACCAAGAAAAACACAAGTCATAGATCTGGAGTGAAATTTGGACTTGTGAGGATCTAGATTCACAGCATAGGCTAGGCAACCAAAGACTTTCAAAGTGGAGTAATCAGGTAAATGCCCAAATAAGATTTCAAAAGAAGTTTTCCAGTTGGTAGCAGAAGTAGGTAATCTATTGATGAGATATGTGGCATGGAGAATAGAGTAAGGCCAAAATTTAGATGGTAAGTGTGATTGAAACAAGAAAGCTCTAGCTAGGTTCAGAATTTGTCTATGCTTTCTTTCAACAATACCATTTTGTTGTGGTGTGTATGGACAAGAAGTTTGGTGAAGTATGCCATGTTGTGAAAAAAGTGTTTGACAGGTGTGACTTAGGAATTCAGTTCCATTGTCACTTCTGAATTGTTTAATCTTGGTACCAAACTGAGTAACAACCATCTGAATAAAATCACTAAGAATGTCTGGAACTTGACTTTTGTGGTTAAGAAGGTAAACCCAAACTCCTCTGCTATAATCATCTACTAGGGTAAGGAAATAAGGTGTATTAGTGAGGTTAGGCACATTATGCGGGCCCCAAACATCCATATGAACCAATTTAAACAGAGAATTTTTATGAGAATAACTTGTGGTAAAAGACAGTCTTGGCTGCTTTGATTTATGACAAACTTCACACTGAGAGGTGAAATTTTTGGATTCAAAATTACACAAGGATCTCATAAAATCAACATGTTCCAAAATAGAAATAGAAGCATGACCAAATCTTCTATGCCACAAAGAAAAAGAATTCAGGTTTGATGAAGTAACAGAATTACAAGAATTAGAAATAAAGTCTGAAGGTTTCAAGGTGTATAATCTTCCACTGTCTTTCCACTGGCAATCATTTCCTTAGTCTCCTGGTCCTGTAAACAAAAATGTGTGGGATAAAACATGCTCAAAATGCATGATTGTTGTGCTAATTGAGCCACTGAAATCAGGTTGTATTTAAAGGTAGGTATGTAGAGCACATCATGCAAATACAGTTTGTCATGCAACTTGACTGATCCTGATTGGGTAACTGACAATTTTGTTCCATTTGGAAGTAAAATATCCATGGGTGAGATGGTGTATAGGTTGCTAAAAAGGCAAGAGATATGACTCATATGCCTACTGGCACCAGTATCTAATATCCAAGAGCTATCATCAATACACTCTACACTAGTTAAAGCAAAAGAGGGATTGGAAAGAGATATACCAGCATAGTCTGCAAAATGGGCATGATTCTGAATTCCTTCACAGTTTTGCTTGCCAGCAGCTGCGAGATACTTGGCAATCTCTTGTTTAATCAGATTGGATATATCCTGCAAAGGCAGGTCTCCTTCTTTTCTTTCAGTTCCACCAGTATCCTTAGGTTGAGTTTCTGATTTTACTGTGTTAGCCACTATTCTGCCTTGTTGTTTTGCTCGTTGTTCCTTTAATGCTTTGAACCACTCCGGATATCCATGGAGCTTGAAGCAAGCCTGAGATAAATGTCCAAACTCCTGACAGTAATCACATTTCTGCTTTGCCTTCTCTTCCTTAGACAGCCTCACAAAGCCTCTACCTCTTCCTCCATGCCAGTTATGTCCATTGCCATCTCCTTTACCAATTGTTCCTCTTCCATATCCACCGAACTTGCTGAATAAAGCATTTTGTTCTCTTATTTCTGGATATTGCTGCTGAACAGACCTTTGTTTCTCCACCCTCTGTATCATTGAGTATGCTTTGTTGATAGTAGGTAAAGGATCTAGTAGTAAGATTTGGCTTATTACTCCTTCATAGCTTTCATGTAGACCCATAAGAAATTGCAACAACTTTCGATTCTCCTCAATTGTCACCATTTGCTGCATAGATCCACACTTACATATAGGAACAAATACCAAACTGGCAAACTCATCCCATAACCTTTTAAGCTTTGTAAAATAGGCAGCAACTGAATCATTATCTTGCCTAATTGTTGCTATTTCTTTCTGTAACTGATATAGCAATGGTCCATTACTCTCTCCGAAACGTTGCTCAATTTCTTCCCATAAGGATCGAGCACAATCAGCATACAGAAAGGCATCAACAAGATCCTTACCTAGAGAATTTAGGATCCAGCTGTAGATCGTGTAGTCGACCTTTTTCCAATGCTCGAAGTCCTCAGAATCTAGATCTGGCATAGGTATGTCGCCATTGACAAAGCCTAACTTTTTCTTAGCCCCGAGTGCGATCGTCATCGCTCTTCTCCATGATTGGTAATTTGTTCCGGTGAGCTGTGTCGTCACCAAAGCCATCCCAGGATGATCGGAATTGTGGAGTGCATACGGATCGCTAACCCTCGCCGGTGCTGGTCGATCATTGCCGGATCCACTTCCTTCACCGTTCCTGTTGTGACCTCCTGCCACAACTACATTCCACGCCGTATTCAGTGCCATTTCCGATCAATGATTTGTCTCTGATACCATGTTAAATGGTAAAGCAGAGGAAATGAAGAACTGGAACGAAGAGAAAAACCATTTTCTTATTTCAGGAAATCAGATACAATAATGTTTCTCAATACAATTCCCAACATTCAATTTGGTATTTAAACCTCTCACTAAACAGGAAGAACAAAAGGACTAAGATACCATTCTCTCACTAGGCTAGTCAAAGTCAAAATACACCAGTATAGTCAACACAATTGATAAGGGAGTGATTGTTTAGCAATTTACTCTAAATAAAAATCAATCAAACCTCAACTCCAAATTTTTTAATATTATCAATATAATTAAATAATATCAACCAATCATTCAATTAATCATTCTTACACATCGCATCAACTTTAATTCACTATTCATCCACTCACATAATTTTAACGAAACATTGTTTGGGTATCACAACAAACGCAGCGGACAAAAATACCCCTCCAACAAATATGGCAAGCACTACTCCAAAACAAAAAATAAGCCAACACAAATAAATAAAAAAGGGAAAAGAAAAGAACACAAAAATTGATAACGAAGTTCGACGAAAATAGTCTACGTCTCCGGGCACCGCCAACCGCAACGCCAATTTCACTAAACTCACCAACAAAATACAACTAGGGTTAAATAACTCACAAAATAGGATTTCATTAATTAAGGATTTCCTTCTAAATAGGAGATAATAGAATAAGGTGCAATTGTAACCCAAAGACAAAGGACCTATTTATATTAAAAATATCCTACACATCTTTGGTACACATCCAATGTGGGACAAAAGTTAATCAAAATCTAACAATTCTCCACCTTGACTAATTTTTCTCTCACTCCCAACTCAACTGCTAGCGGTGCCTCCAAATGCGCCTCTCGGCGCCAACTCAAATATGCAGAATGTTGGTCAAGTCTAAACAATGTTCAAACTTGGCTGTTGTCACTACCTTGGTCATCATATCTGCAGGATTCTCCATCGTCTTTGTAATACCCCATATTTTTAGTAAGTCAGAAAATCAGTAGAAGTTATTCAGTAAATCGGTAAAAGTTATTAATAGTTTATAGATGATAAGTAAATTATTTTCAAGATTAAGTTAGTATGGATTTTACAAGAGAAAATATCACAATTTCAAAGTATTTATGAAAATAAAAAATTCAAAAGCAAATGAGAGAAATCCGAATTTTTAGAATTTTCGGTTTTACGATAATTGTTCG